CTCACTGCAACCTCTGCCTCTTGGGTTCAAGCGATCCTCCTGCCTCAGCCCCCCAAGTAGCTGGGATTACCAGTGTGCACCACCATGCCTGGCTAATTTTTGTATTTTTAGTAGAGATGTGGTTTCACCACATTGGCCAGGCTGGTCTTGAACTCCTGGCCTCAAGTGGTCCACCCACCTCAGCCTCCCAAACTGCTGGGATTACAGGTGTGAGCCACTGTGCCAGGCCTGAAGTGTGTATTGAAAACAGGTGAATTTTATGACATGTAAATTCTGTCTCAATAAAGCTATCCAAAAGGGGAGGGAGGGAAGATGGAGTGAATCACGTAGATATCTGAAGAAAGAACATTCTAAGCAGAGGGAACAGCCAGAGTGAATCCCCTAAGACAGAAGAACAGTTGGTGTGTTCAAAGACAGCAAGGAGGCCAGTGTGACTGGAATAGGTGAGGGAAGGGAAAGCTGACAGGAGACAAGGTCAGAGAGATCATGAAAGGCCTGGTCATATAGGGTTTATAAGACCGTATAAGGCCATTGTGAAGATTTTGTCTTTCCAGTGAATGAGATGGAGAGTTTTTGCAGGGTGGTGAGCAGAAGGATGACATTACATCTGATTTACATTACAAAAGAATACATCTGGCCACTGTGTGGCTGGGCAAAAGTAAAGACAAAGAGACTAGTGAGGAGATTGTGACCCATAAAGAGATAATGATGGCTTAGACACCATTGATAGGTATTAATGGAGATGGTCAAGTAGTTGAGATTTGGTGATATTTAACTCTAATCCTCACAACAACTCTATGAGGTAGCTAATAACATCATCCACATTTTACTGATGATAAAATGATTACATATCATTTCATAGCTTGCAACATCCCACACAGAATAGGTCATAATTTTATCAAATGTTAAACCCAAGCAGTCTGAGTCCAGAGTCTGCATCTCACTCATCGTCCTATACCACCCCTCTGAAAGCTCTTCTGCGAAGGAAGTCTCACCTGTGCCTGTCAGTTCTGCCACGTAAACATACAAGGATGTTTAAAAGTTTTCAAGCCACAGCTGTATGCTGGAATTCTCTTCCTAATAACAAACAGTATTCCTGGGGTCTTGGTCTAACAAGTTCATACTCATATTGAAATAATTTGCTTCCCTGAAAAGTGAGCGAGCATCAATGCTGAGCTAAACAGAAAAAAAAGTTGAGGCCTAAAATGAGAAGAAAAAACGCAAGGCTGAAAAGGATGGCATTGCTCTAACAAGGAAGAAGAAAATAAATTCATGAGAAGAGAGACTCTGACAAATACCACAGAGGGGAATTATCCTGTGAGCCTTTGTGAATTGAAATTTGGGGTTCTACTAAAATTATATAATGGGATTGGAATTCTTTCTACTTTTTAAAATGTTTGAATTGAGCCATTGTGTAGCTTTTACTCATAGCTCCGATGACAGCCTTAACTACAATCCTGAAAGCTTATTCTGGCCCTAGGCTGGCCTATATCCAAGTTTTCTATAAATCCAAATTTTTGAATTGGAAGGAAATTGCGTGTGATTGGTTTTTCTTTTGCTTCCTCCAAATAATGGCATCTATCAAGGGTAGACCAGAGCACTTTGCCAGAATTCATACTTGCCTCCCCCACTTCTCTCCTCCCTTCCTCTCATCCTCTTTAAATCCAACCCATACTCCTTCTGTTTTTAAAAGTATATTTTATTTTGTAAACAAAAAATAAAATTCAAAGATCCTCCTGTTATATATAAAGTTTCAGTGCCGCAAAAGGAATAGCACTTGAATATAAAGTTTTCTTTTTAATTCTCAGCAAAGCAACTTACTTCTATAGAAGGGTGTGCCCTTACAGATGGAACAATGGTGAGCGCACACTTGGACAAGGGAGGGGAAGGGGTTCTTATCCCTGATGCACGTGGCCCCTGCTGCTGTGTTGTTCCCCTATTGGCTAGGGTTAGACTGCACAGGCTAAACTAATTCCAATTGACTAATTTAAAGAGAACGACAGGGTGAGTGCTTTGGCAGGAGTCAGGGCAGAGCAGGTAGCAGGTAATCAGAATGAGTTAGGGTGGAGCAGGTTATCGGAATCAGTTAGGGTGGAGCAGGTGATCAGAATGAGTCAGGGTGGAGTAGGTAATCAAAAAAGGTTGCTTTACGAGGAAGTTAAGTTTAAAAGTAGAAGGCAAAGAATTGAACATATTGACATATTAATTCTTTGAAAATAAATTTAGAACTCATATCTAACACTCCAACCATCAGAATGGACACCTCTCAGCCAAGGGCATTCCAAAGTTAACCCAAAAAACTAGTTCAGGCTATGATGGGAAGAGGGAGTCGTTCATGCCTCATTATGCCCTTCTCTATGAGTTTTGGAATTCAGGCACAGCTGACCAGCATCCACATCAACACAGACCTTAAGACTAATAGAACAGCCTCTTTAAATCTGATAAGAAACATTTACAATCTATTCTCTCTGAAACCTGCTACCTGGATGCTTCATCTGCATGTTAAAACCTTGGCCTCCACCACCCCTTATTGTAATTCAGACATTCCTTTCAATTGATTCCGGGTCTTTAGATCACAATGCTTTCAACCAATTGCCAATCAGAAAATCTCTGAATCTGCCTATGACCTGGAAGCCCCCTGCCCTGGCTTTCAGTTGTTCTGCTTTCCAGATCAAACCAATGTAATACATCTTACATGCATTGATTGGTATCTTATGTCTCCCTAAAAGGTATAAAGCCAAGTTGTGAGTTGTAGCCTGACCACCTCGGGCACATGTTCTCAGGCTCTCCTGAGGGCTGTATCACAGGCCATCGGTCACTCATATTTGGCTCAGAATAAATCCCTTCAAATATTTAACAGAGTTTGACAATCTTTTCATTGACAATTTCCAGTTCTGCTCTGTGTTTCAGCTTCTTGTGATCATGTGAGACTCATCCCTTCTACTATTTCTGTGCTTCCCTTCCCCCCATCCCCCACCCTGCATCCTGTAAGGATAAGATGCTTGGAGCAATAGCCACCACCTTGCAGCTGGAGGAGAATGCCAGGAGAATTTTAGAGTGCCACCTCATACTGAGATTCTCCTTCCTCCAGCTTCTTATTATAGGAGCTATTTCAATGATTTTGTTGCCTCAATTTAGTTTTCTATTATAGCAGAGGTATCCTAAGGAATCAGATAATTACCAATCTCACCTTTTCTTTTTTCTTCCACAACTCTTCTCTAATATTAGATCAGGGGTAGGGGAGTGGGGTAGAGGGTGATATTTGCCTTCACCTGTTCCCCAGCCAGTGCCCAGTCATACTAGGTCTAACTTTCTAAACATCTGGGTCTTCTCTCTCTCCCTTCTTCTCCTCACTGCCCTCCCCCATGCCCCCAGCAATCAAGTCCTGTAAGAATCAGAATCCACTTTCAAAAATAACAACTACATTTTCCACTGTGGGTCTGTGTCATAAAGGAATGGCAGAAGGTTAGTGTAATAGCAGCTTCCCACTGACTAGTCTCTAATCACCATTCTTTTGTGGAACTCAATCAAGTATCTCATTACATAAAATACTGAACATTATTTTGTCATTTATTTCCTTGGTTTAACCTGCTTAAATAAATATTTCCCCCAATTCAAAAGCAATTTAAAAAGCAACACGGTTTTGTAAATTGTATGTATTTTTTAAAGTTTGGGTGGCAAAAAGCAAGTACCTTGTCTTCATTTATACACACAATAGTGTTGTATAGACTTAAGTTTTGCATGGACTGACTTTATCTGCTTCTACAGTATTTTAATAAATTCAGCTCAGTTACATGCTCTGCTTTCCTCCATGACCTTTCTTTACTGTGACATTATCCTGCTACGATTGATGGGAGCACTGTACAATGTGCTGGCATATTATAAAAATTGTATTTGGGCTGCCTAACTTACTTGTGATGAAAAACTTTAGTATACCTGCTAAAGCAATCCCTATTCCCTACGAAGACCAGCTTGAGTTTCTATTCCTTTCTTCAATTTTTTTTATGAGTTTGAATGAACTTGGAATCTGTCTCAGACTCAGGAGCAGAACACACTTTATGTTTCCGCAGAGCTGTTTTTCATCACAAACCAATAAACAGTAGACAAAGCTCTCTGTGGAGTCTGCTCACCAAATCAGATCTACACTGTATCACTGCTTAGACAAAATGAAAAAAGGCCAAGAAATCAGACACATCACATCCACAGATATATGGCAACCTCTATGATAAGGTTGTCATGAGCAACTGGTGACAGGGTCTGTCTTCCCAGAAATAAAAAGATGGTGGGACTCTATGACAGAGATGTCTCATGCATTGACAATTTTCTTCACAGAGGCTGTGCCTCTCATCTATCTCCACTGGATTTCATTGGGAATTTAAATTATATCCAGACATGAGTGTTTCTGAACTGACTTAACTGAAAAATAGTCTTTAGTCTTTTTCTTCTTCTATGAATATTTTTAAAATCTTTGTTTGCATATATATACAAGCTGTCCTTAGGGGAAATAGAGTTCAGCCTACATAAGATAGTATTGAGTTTTCATAATATATCCGCCCAGGTTTGCTCTAAGGGCTCTGTTGGTTGTTTTATCATCATAAACCACCTGGAATCTTTCAACAAGACTGGGTACTATGTAAATTACATTCCAAGACAAGAAGGGCTGTTTTAAACCCTCTTCAAGAGAGTTTATATTGAAAAAAGGAAAGGACTCAATCATAAAAAAGTATGAGCATGACTTTGAGGGCAGAGTCAAAGGTGTCTCTAATGCTACGACTTGAGATTCATGTGACAGGACAATTCCATGTAGCAAAAGGGGCAGATGAAGAAAGGAGGGAACCTAGAAGTGTCAGGGAGGCAGTGTGGCATGGCTCTGATCCCTGCTCTGCCACGTAGCAGTGATGTAATTGTAGTGGGCACTTCCTAAGGCCACCTCCAATGAGTCACACCGTTGCATAATCCCACATCCTTATGTAATCCTCTGCCTTTGAGTGCAAGTGGAAACTGTGACTTGCTTGTAACCAACAGAATATGGCTAATGTGATGAAATGTCACTACTGATGGAATGTAATTACATTGCGTTGTATGGCAAAGGCGATTTGATATCACTCCCATGATTCATGTTATGATATATAAAACTCCATCTTAGTTGACTAGAGAGACTTTCCTAGCTTTGAAAAAACAACCAGCCATATGAACTACCTATGAAAAGGGCCATGTGGGAGAAACTGTGGGTCATCTCAAGGACCTGAAGGGGGATCTCCAGCTGAAAGCCAGTAAGAAGCTGGGGCCTCAGTCATACAGCTGCAAGGAAATGAATTTTTCCAACAACCTGGATGAGCTTGGAAACAGATTCTACCCCAGTCAACTACTCAGGTAAGGATACATCCAATCTGACACTTTAATTGAAGTCTTATGAGATCCTGGGTAGAAGAACTAGGCTAGCTGTGCCAGACTTCTCCCATTAGGATTTTGAGGTAATAGATGTGTGTTGTTTTAAGGCACTAAATTTCTGGTGTGTAATTTGTTATGTAGCAATAGAAAATTAATATGATAATCTAGGAACAAGTTTTTTCTTTTTCTCTGAGTCTAATTCTCATCTATATAATGGGGATAATAACATCTACTTACAGGTAGGTTTAATCATCAAATAAATGTTAGTTCTTGCTAAAATGGTAGTTGTTTTATTGTATTATTAATATTACTATTCTTTTCCGGGTACATGAGACCCAGAGCACCAGGCTAATGGATTCAGGAGTTGAAGTCTGATCCTGGGCCCTAGCCCACAGGAACCCAGAGAATGCCATGCATGAATAAAGAAGAAATACAGCCAGCTGTCCTGTCTTGGCTTTCCTTGAGGTTGATACAGTGGCGCACTAAATCTTTTTCTATGACCTACTCTGTGCCCAGCAAAATGCTAACTATGATAGGCACAGACAATACCAAGAGAAGTAGGAGGTTCTCCCTGCCCTTGAAAGTGTCCAGGCTAAGGGCCACAATTTAGACTCTAAGACTCACATTGCAGTTCTGTGTTCAGAACTGGGATTCCAAAATGTGAGGGCAACCAGTGCCAAGCTCTGCATGTTTTAGGGTACAGTGGGAAGCTCTGAGACTGCTAACATCCTTGGGTATCCAACACCTGAGATAAGTAAGGGCTCCGTTAACACAGGGAGCAAGTAAGGGCTGAAGCCAAGGGAATGATGTTGCCCCTTGGCATCACTATCATGAACTATCTTGAATCTCCCAACAAGGCAGGGCATTGTGCAATTGACATTCCAAGACGAGGCAGGCCTATTTTCAACCCTCTTTAAGAGGATTCACAATCCACTCTCTTGCTGCACTAGCATGGGTAGAGCAGGAAAATTCTCCAGATTATCATCGAAGCTGTGAAGGTTTGGGAGATGGGTCATTCAAAATATTCAGAAGTTCTTGAAAGCCAAATGTTAGTGGACGAGGAACTAAATTGGCTTCTGTTTCATCTTTGTTAGGTTTCTACAGCAATGTTATCTTGAATGGTTTGTCAACATGTTTCACTGAGCAAACTTAAAGCAACTCTGGTAATTACAAGTGGAACCCTGTTACAAGTGGAACCCTGACAACTTCAGAAGTGCCCATCACAACCAAACATTCCTGCTCTGAATCACCTGACATTCACTGTCTCATTCATGCCAGCTTCTTCAGGTGGCCCTTGATGATCTGCCTGCCTCCACAGAGCCTCAGAAAATTAGCCTTTTCTTTTTTTCTAGATTTCACTCTTCATGATGGATGTGAAAGACGGTAAAGTATGCTAGTTAAAATCCAGCCTCTGGAGACAGACTGATGTGGGATAAATCCAGCTTTGCCACTTAACAGTTCTCTGCTCTTGCACAATTTTACCTAACCTCTACGAACCTGAAATCAGGCTAGTTACAGCATTTTAGTAAAGCATTCATTACAGAGCCTGAACATAGGGAGTCCTTATTAATGACAGTTATTATCGTCATCATTATTAGTATATTATGATCACATGGCTATTGCTTTGTAGTTATCATATAGTCATTAATGTCCCTAGAATAGTGCAGATGAGATGACACCAGTTATAAGACCCTGAGAAGCTTAACTCAGCAAAACTAAGTTGTTTAAATCTCTGTTCTAGCTCAGAGGTTGGCAAACTTTCTCTGAAAAGGGCCAGATAGTAAATATTTTAGGCTTGCAGACCATATGGTCTGTTTTGCAACTACTTAATTCTGCTATCATAACTCAAAATCAGCCATAGACAATACATAAGAAAATGAGTATGCTTGTGCTCTATTAAATGTTATTTACAAAAAGAATTGGCTGTTTGGATTTAACGCGTAGGTCATAGTCTGCCAACCCCTTCTCTAGCCCCTTGTCCATGTACCGCAAGGTACTCCCAAACAGAATGCTAATGGGAAGCGCAAGTGGCAGAGTAGACACAACAGAGTTTGAGTCTCAATTTTGTCATGTCTTGACTGTAGCATTCGGGGAATATTACTTAACTCTCTAGCATTTTGAGAATATTAATTCCTCCATGCCCCAGGTTCTTCCTCTGCAAATCCTAGGCAATAGTACTTCCTGGGCAGGGTTACTGAGGATAAATGACCCCAAATATATAAAATATAATTAAGTAATAGAGATAACATACGTAAATGAGATAATGTAAGTATGTATATTTCAGGCTTTTTTGCATGAATTTACTTTGTATCTATCTGTTCAACTGGATTATGATTTTGTTGAAGGTGAAACATCTGTTATCTATTGCCTTTATTTCTCTCATCCTTGTCTGTAGGTCCTAGAAAAGTCCTCTGCACAGAGCAGGGCATAGCCTGCATTCCAAATTTTGTTATTCTCAAAGGTCAATTGTTCTCAGTGGCAGACAACAGAAGCCAAGACTTGCTAAGTGAAACAGAAGACAAATTTGCTGGAAGGACATGTGAAAATGGGCACAAATTAGGGAGCAAGGTCATACTTGCACCACTGCTGTTAGGCTGCTACCACTGACTCCTCTGCTCCTGCACTCTCAACAGCACCATCAGGAAAAACCCTACACACAGTTCCTTCATCTCCGCCTTACTTGCTGAAGATTAGAAGTCCCAGGTAGGAGTCTTTGAATGACTAAGGCCACATCACCGGCCCATATCCTGGCTACAAGGAAGCAAGGAAAGAAAATTTTAGCCAGCCTTTTTGGCTTCTGGAATGCGAGCATTTTACCAAGTCACCTAATGGTGTAGAACTCCCCAGTAGGAAAGGTTTTAGGGGCCGGGCAGCTAGAATAAAGACAAACGGCTACTCCTCCCGTTATCTGCTTACCTGGGCCACCTGTTCATAGAGAACTCTGACGTCACAACATAGTCCACCACCACTATGAGTTTCAAATTGGTTGCTTGTTGCATAGTTAGGGGGATTTTAAACTAAGCCCTCCAACCTCTCTCCCTTTGTTCCCTACAGTGGATACACCAGTGCCCCCTCCCTATTGCCTCGCTTCTGTGCGTGCCAGCCTGCCTTCCAACAGTCAGCATTTACAACTTTGTTAGAGGGCTGCCCTCAGACTGCTGGAACCTACTTTGTCTCCATGCAGGGCAGACCCAAAGTGCCTGGGTAACTCATAACCCATCAGGGGTATCCTTTAACCAAAACTTACTAAGTACAATGTATAACTACTCCAGCTCCCTTGCCCCTTGACTGGAATCATAATTAAGTGTGTGTTTTGCACAATTTTTAAAAACTTCTCCAAAGGATTAAACTTCAGGTGGACACTATGGTAGTTGCCTTAATAGTGTACCCATTATAGATTAGCTTCCTTTTATTATTTCTTTCTCTCTCTTCTGCCCTTCTCTCTCAACATTCCAAATAGACTATGTGCACTCAGTCTTTGTCTCAGCTTTGCTTCTGAGAGGAGCCCTGCTAACACATCTCTCTTATATCTGAGTATTGGCATGCTATTTTGCAGACATATTAGGAATACTGAGACAACTATTACCACAAAACTCTATAATTCACAAGAACATTTGCAGATACAAATTAGGTAAACATGAGATCAAGAATGTATTATTTTCTTTCTCTATTAGAATTACAGTGCTCTGTGCTTATATTAAATCTGCCCCTATGATGAAAACACAGATGCCAGAAAGAAAGAAAAAAAGAAAGAATGACAGAAAGAAATGAAGGAAGGAAGGCAGGGAGGGGGAAGGGAGGGGAAGAAAGAAAGGAAGGTAAAAAGGAAGGGAGGGAGGAAGAGAGGAAGCAGGAAGAAAGAAGAAAGAAAATAGACAATCATTATTTAGGAGAATCAAAAGAGCATAATGGAGATAGGCCTTGAAATTCCAGGAGATGATAAGAAAAATTGCTTTGAGGCAACAGAGTAAAAGGAGAGCTCCCTGTACTCTGAAAAAAGGAGATATGAGAAGCAAATGAGAAGGGCTGTAAATCACTGAGTAATCAAAGCAAAAGTTATCCTGCAGAGCCCTGCAGAAAGCTTTCAGAAGAAGAAAAGTCAGGTCAACAATCTGTGCCTGAAAAAACACAAAGCTGTCAAGTCTTGAAACGGAGGAGACTCATCTTGGTATTTCTAATGGCATTCAGTAGTGGCAGTGGCTGCTGTCCTCCTTTGGGAATTGGGAGGAGGGGCTGTTGCTGGATGTTCTTGTACAAGGAGGAAGATAACTTGAACATGCTTTCTTCTCTTCAGTGCATCCTGAAAAATTGAATTGTGATGATAAAGATCAGGCAATTGTGCAGAAGCACTGAACTCTTTATGAAATAATAGCCCAAGTGCTGAACTCTAATCTTGTTTCTCTCTTTGTTGGAAAAAGGGAGCGGTGGCACTTGTGCTATCACCTAACTATGCACAGGCAGGATGATGGAGTAATAGTTGCTCTATGCCCTGTGACCAAAGTTCTCTTTGATGCAGGGAGCCAGCTAGGCAACCAATCCAATATGGAGGAGCTGAGATGTCCATTTGTACCAGAGGAGAGAAAATCCTTGGGACCAAAGGAGGGTTAAGAGAAGTGGGGAAGGGGAAGGAATTGGCTGGTTGTGGAGACAAAATTCAACAAAACAACAGATAAACTCCAACCCTTACACCCAAAAAAATTAGGAAGGGAAAAAAAACCTAGAATGAAGTTTGAGTGAGCAACCCTAAAAGCTGTTATCCCAGTATCCTGCAGAAAGTAAACTACATGAATTTGGATAGCAGAGATAATCTAGTTGATATAAGAAATTCTGGATAAAACATATTTTTTGTGGACTTAGAACTGAATTGTGTCATAGTCATCAACTGCAAAGAAGATTCTAGACCACACATAAGGGCTGCAGAGAGTGCTCACAGTGGTTCTAACAACTAACACATGCTGGGCTGGTTATAAGTGGATTTTTCCCACCGATAATATCTGTTTTCTTTCCTGAATGTCATAACTGAGGCCTTGTTAGCCCCTTCCTCTCATGGAACAGAGAGCATATAGCCTATCTTGAGTCTTGGAAATGCCAACAGGTTTCTGTCATAAGGGGTGTGGTCCCGGAAGCCCAAATCATACCGGCTCATCTATGGTGGCAGGCAGAAAATACTTTGTTTTTTTTAAAGATTACCTATTAGCATCAATGTTGTAAGCATGGTTGATTCCCTCCCTGGACTGGTCACTTCTTTATCTGAAATGCAAGGCATGATTTCTCCCAAGGTTTAGCTGAAAGTAGTTCATATAATGATTCTGGATGGTTTATGTGCAGGCATGCAAATACAATGAAAACAACATGAGGTCATTAATAACTGTAGACACCGGCAGGTGACAGATGTGAAATGAATGAGCTCCTGAGCATTTCTTTACTTAATCTTTAAAAACTGAGTTTTCAGGCCAGGCCTGGTGGCTCAAGCCTGTAATCCCAGCACTTTGGGAGGCTGAAGCAGGTGGATTGCTTGAGGCCAGGAGTTTGAGACCAGCCCGGCCAACCTAGCAAAGCCCCGTCTCTACTAAAAATACAAAAGTTAGCCGGGCGTGATGGTGCACGCCTGTAATTTCAGCTACTCAGGAGGCTGAGGCAAGAGAATTGCTTGAACCTGGGAGGCGGAGGTTGCAGTGAGCCGAGATTGCCCCACCGCACTCCAGCAGACAACGGACTGAGACTCTGTCTCCAAAAACCAAAGAAAAACAACAAAGCAAAACAGAAACCTGAGTTTTGAATTTGTTTATGAGTAACACTAAAGTAGAAATGTATCTTCCTTTTTGAACTTAATGGTGTAGTTATTAGAATGTCATACTAATCTAAATGTGTCAATACTCAATGATTGCTCAAAAATCATATGTGTTTGTATAACCCTGGAGATTTTTTTCACTTCATTAAATATTTTAAAGTTTAAAGAGATGTCAAATGTTCAAAATGTCGATGTTGAGAGCCCGCGGCACTGGGAGCTTGGCCTGCGCTGCGCCACGATGTCCTGCGGAAGCGAAGCACGCCCGCGGGGCTGGTCCCAGAGGGCCAGATCCGAGTCTACAAGCATGAGGTTCTGTCCGTTTGCTGAGAGGACGCATCTGGTCCTGAAGGCCAAGGGAATCAGGCATGAAGTCATCAATATCAACCTGAAAAATAAGCCTGAGTGGTTAAGAAAAATCCCTTTAGTTTGGTGCCAGTTCTGGAAAACAGGATCAGCTGATCTACTAGTCCGCCATCACCTGTGAGTACCTGGATGAAGCATACTCAGGGAAGAAGCTGTTGCCGGATGACCCGTATGAGAAAGCTTGCCGGAAGATGGTCTTTAAGTTGTTTTCTAAGGTGCCATCTTTGGTAGGAAGCGTCCTTAGAAGCTGAAATAAGGAAGACGGTGCTGGCCTGAAAGAAGCATTGTGTAAAGAATTTAGCAAGCTAGAGGAGGTTCTGGTTAATAAGAAGACAACCTTCTTTGGTGACAGTTCCGTCTCTATGATTGATCACGTCATCTGGCCCTGGTTTGAACGGCTGGAAGCAATGAAGTTAAATGAGTGTGTAGACCACACTCCAGAACTTAAACTGTGGATGGCAGCCATGAGGGAAGATCCCACAGTCTCAGCCCTGCTCACTGGTGTGAAGGACTGGCAAGGTTTCATAGAGCTCTACTTACAGCCCGGAGACCTGTGACTATGGGCTCGGAAGGAGTCAGCAATAAAGCTATGTCTGAGGTTTTCCTTCACTTAGAGAATAAAGAAAGTCCGTATCAAAACTCTAATAAAACCTTAGAGAAGAGATCAAATAGTACACAGACCACAAAGGACTAGTAACAAGGAAGATAGGCAACCCTGAAGAAAAAAATGACTGCAAAAGAGATGAAGAGTGAACATAAATCTCTCTGAAATTTTACCGTATTAACCAGATAGCCTTTGCTGCCCACGTTAATATACTGATCTACTCTGCTTTCTGCAGGGTGATGGGACATTAACAGCTTTTTAACATTACTCATCCAAATTTGATTTTAGGTCTTTTTTCCTTTCTAAATCCCTTTTAGGTGAGAGCTAGAGTCTATCTATAAATAAATAAATAAAATGAATTGGAATAATCAACAAGAAGTAATTAACATAGATGTAACTAATGTTAGAAAATCGCCCAAACTGGGAAGGCTTCAATGAACTTGGTTTCTTTTCTTACAGTACCTTATAATTCAATTTAATATAAATACCTCTTTCATATTCAGAATAGAACAGTGCTTCATTGCTTTAGCCTTTTCATGACAATTAACAAATTATGGGAAAAACCCCACATTTTAGGTTATATATTTTTAAATTTTTCTGTGTTACGACGTTTTGATATCTTAACCTATCTAGCTAGGGAGAGACAGCCCATTTCAGGGTTAACCAATTCTCAGAGGCTGCAAAAGACTCAGCCAGGAGCATGCATGCCTTTGATATGCAAACTAACCAATCCAGAGTCTTACCTCCACTATCTGACTCATACACCCAAGAGACAATATTCCTCTGCTTTAATCATCCCAGTGCCAGGTACCAAGCAAATAGTAATATAGGAGTTAGAAAAAACTATTTAGCCGGATAGTGAGGGTACAGGGGTTCTCGGTAAGACTTTTCTTTTAATAAAAAGCAGCCCCCAAACCGTTTGTTTTCTAACAAAGAGCAGCCTGTAAAATCGAGCTGCAGACAAGCTAATGGGTGAATGTATTCTAGTTAGTTGCTTGGTTGTCACCCATTGGCTTGTGAATTACAGAGACTTACTATGACATCCATTTCACTTTATTTTTACCTTATTTTTCTCTTAAAAACATTTGTTCCTTAGTTTTTCATGGCAATTTTCCATACAAAAGCTTTCTATGGAAAGCTTTTATGATTGGTTTTTCAGGGAATCCAACCTTATTTTATCTTTGAAAATATCCTGAAGTGCCAAATAAACCAAGAATCTGAAGTGGGGGAAGACTCTAGCCCCAGCAATACCTGTGACTACTAATGAAAAAGACTTGACCGGCTGAAACTGCCTGAGATTTCTCACATAATGTCATCATTACGTGGATGTGCTTCAGTGCTCTGAAATAATGGCACTTTAATCTTAAGTGAACCTGCCACCATCTGAAAAGGGGGGAAGAAAAGCCAAAGATACAAAATACTGAAGAAAGGTAAGGGTACTGCTTCATTATCCATACAATACAGTTTTATTTCAATGCTACAATATAATTCTTTTTCCTTCTAGTACTAAGAGTTATTTAGTGTTATGCATTCAAAATTTTACTTCATGACTTACCATGAGAGAATCTCATTTTACTTAAAAATTTTAGTTTTTGGTTGGGCGCAGTGACTCACGCCTGTAATCCCAGAATTTTGGGAGGCTGAGGCAGGCGGATTACCTGAGGTCAGGAATTCAAGACCAGCCTGACCAACATGGTGAAACCCCATCTCTACTAAAAATACAACATTTAGCCAGGTATGGTGGTGCGTGCTTGTAATCCTAACTACTTGAGAGGTTGAGGCAGGAGAATCTTTTGAACCCAGGAGGCAGGGGTTGCAGTGAGCCGGGATTGTGCCATTGCACTTCAACCTGAGCAACAGAGCGAGACTCTGCCTCAAAAAAAAAAATTAGT